ATTTACAATCAACTCTAGTAAATCTAGAGGCACAGTGTTTTGTAACCGAGTGTTTCACGATCCTAAAAATCTCATAATTGGAAACACTTTTAAAACCCTATTAAACCCATCGATTAAGAATAAAATTTGAAGAAGACGTGTCTTTCTGCAAATTAATAAAATAATAAATATTTTTGTGCATGTGTACTATGCAATATGTTTGAAATTATAAGGGAATCTATAATCAACGGGAAAAATTCACATTACTTAACTAGCTATTTTTAGCAAAGCGTAGTTTTCGCAGGTGGCTGGAAGGAGGTTCGTTCAAAAGCCGGACTACTATGGAATAATGCTGCACCTGCAGAAAGTCCATGTTTTCTAATTATAAACTGACCAATCGAATTTTCTTTTAAACCTACACCTTGTCTGAGTTGCTGTCTGTTAAGAAGAATCAGTCCCCGAGACGCGTTGCCAATATAATATTACGGGCAAATGAGATAACGAGTTCTGGCACAGTGGACACTATAAATCAGTTAAACGATAGTCTCAAGTAATTGCATGCACGAAATTCGAATCTAGGCCTGTGATTCATTGATCCGCTCAGTCTTCAAACTCTTTCGGCCAACAAGAAGAATGTGTAGAACCACATAGAGTAGGTGAGCCAACTGATAAAATGTCAACCGAAATTGCGAAATGCGTTTTAGTTTCGAACAGATTAAGTAAGTAGGGTTGTAAAATTAGTCAGCCTGCTAAAAAATTCCATAATATTTCAATTACCTTAGGATTCCGGCTTTCGAATAAACTTACTTTCGGCCGCATAGAAAACGAACTTCTATAAAAAATGGCTACTTAAGTCACATGAATTTTTCTCATTGATTTTCGATGCCCCTAAAAGTCCAACTATATTTCATAGAAAACATATGTAAAATAATCAGTCGTTTGTTCATTAGGTAGAAAATTACATCGTCTTCTAATTTTACACTCGTAGGAGGGTGATAATTCGGTTTTAAGAAAGTTTACAATTTTGGGACTTTTAAATACCGTGAAATCGCCGTTCATAAATCGTCATGGCTCTGTACTTACCAATGTGGCTTTTAAAGTTAACAATAGGGATCAAATCCAATGCTTAATTTTACGAAATCTATATGGTCCTCCTTTATTACCGTATATAAATGTGTGGTTTTCTGTACGCGGAAAATAAACGACTTGTTGTTTGGCAACCCTAAATCCAAGTGAAAATGCAGGTAGGGTTCAAAATTATTCGGGAATCGGAAAAGTTTTGGAAACCGACTTATACCCTTCCTTTGATTGTAGCATTGGAAAAAGACATATTTTTCTACCGACTGAGCAAAAGAATGAATATTTTATAAATTTTTCCATGAAATTTATTTGCGCTTTTAAGGGCATCGAAAATCAATGAGAAAAATGCATGCCAGATAAATAGTCATTTGTTACAGATTATTGTTTGTGGATGCAGCCGAAAAGAAGTTAATTTAAAAACTTACATCTTGCGGTAACCGGATTATAATAGAAATATGCTACAGACTGATTAGTTTTAGAACCCTATTTTATTAATATTTTCGAAACAAAAACGCATTTCGGAATTTCGGTTGGCATTTTATAAGTTAGCTAACCTATTGTATATGCGAAAACCTAGCAGTCAGTTTCGCAGCTGACCGCGGTTTAGATATCCGGTGTACCGCCACATCAATGACCGCTGATGACTACAAATATAGCGGTCGCCATTCTGGTCTTTGATTTGTAGGAGAATGCCCGCTTCATAAGAAGCAAACCAATTAAGTAAAATAAAATAAAACCCTACGAACATGCATAGCTTATTTCATCTATAATCTCGTTGAAATTGCCAGCCATGATATTTTATCCTCGTGTATGAGAAACCGATGTGCGCTTTAGATCGTCTATTTGTACCATGATTATTCAACGGTTTGCATAGGAAACCTTATAATTTGTTAAAATACAGAGTTGGACAGGAATTATTTTTGCGGCTTGACCACAAAAGAATAAATAAACAGTTGTTTTCTTCAGGGGAATTATAATCACGTAACTTTTCAACCTTCAAATTAGGCTTCTGCAAACCGTGTAAATTAGACGTACTGTCAATACGACTCTAAGCTAGATACGAAATATAATGTCGACATAGCCTTTGCTTTGAGCTTCGAAAGCGTTGCCGAAATGTGCACATCAATCTCTTCCTTGGCTGATATTTTTACATTTGATTGCGTCCAATTATTCGCATCCATACAATCTCATCAATGCAAATGCACCCAAATGCCGGCGATGGTTTCACGCACTTCGGTTTTCTCTGTGAAAACATTAAGGCGGAAGTCAAAAATGCGGAGTTTTGCAATTCAACCCGATCTCATTTCCAAGCTGCTTAATTTCCACTTTAAAGCAAGTTTGGCATGGACCGATAAAGAAGAGGCTAACAAGAAACAAATAGTAAAAGCAAATGTATACCAATAGTTTATTTTTGTTCGCAAATGCCGCCGGACGTTTAATTATTCTAAAGTTTCTTTGAGATAGATATAAGGGCTTTTGGAACAGACACGTGTTTTGCTAAGTTTTTTGCCATTGCATCTTACCCATCAGTGTGTGGCTCACATCTGAGGGTTTGGCCGTCGCCAGTGAAGACGTCCACCGTTTGCCTTCACGAGGTGTTCTCAACACGGTGGCTAACTCGTGAGTTCTTTTTTAGTGCGGCAGATTTTAGTAGAATCTACAATACTCTCTTTTCTTACACACATGCTTCGAGCTTGGGACAATCCAGGAAAACTGAAGGTGGACGCAAGTCCACTGGCTAACACAGCAATATCATGTCTCCGCGTGTCACACACGGCATAATACTATCATAATATACATAATATAATGATATAATATATTGATATAATCGAGCAAAGACACACTGCTCAGAGAACGAAGGATGAAAAGAAGAACTCAATTATCTGTTCAATCTATTTTCCCAAAACCTCTACCCTAGAGATTCTGTACGCCGATGCATGAAACAGCAGAAATCAAAAGAAAGAGATAATAAACAAGAGAGTTCCGATCAGAGTCCAAATCCCAAACACTGGCGAACGCTTCCATACAATAAAAATGTGTCTGAACTCGTTGAAAGGCACCTGCGTAAGAACCACATACAAGTCACTCACAAACCGACTACCAAGCTATACAATCAGCTTTTACACCCTAAGGATAGGGTTGGCTATTTGGATAAAAAAAAGGAGTAATCTTTAAGATTCCATGTGGCACTTGCAATGCAGTATTTTGTGGTTAAACCGGAAAATTCGCCTTTACATGCCTACATGAACACCAATTGACAGTGAAGAGGCGGCATCACTTATCCTAAGTCGCCATGCATACTCTTGAAACTGGGCACAAATTCGCTTGGGACAAAACACGCATTGTCTGTTCCTGCCCACAGAAGAAAGGCTGAGAATTCCTAGAGGCCATTCACTCTGATGATCCATGCATCAATCGACGCATCGATCTTGACGCCATGTACACAAATCTCAAGGAAAAATGGAAAAGACGCGACATCAGCCTCAGCGTTAACCCAGCCCCAGCCATGACAGAGCAATATCGATTTTTGGGCATGTTTAAATTTTGACTGTTTCTTCATGCTTACTATACGCCTGAAGACGTGCTGGGGAACCAGACTCGGAAATTTACGAAATAAAGCTTGTTCATTTTCCAGAAGGACTCATTTTCTTTGAACTTTGCAAACTTCATACATGGACATCGCGCTGCTTTTGAGGAAATGGTTTAGTATTGACTCTCTTCGTGCAAACACCGTCTATCCGGGATACTGCAATTTCTGTATTTTAGTGCTCTTCTTCTATCCTTGTTAGAATTTATCCGGCCAACTTGCAGCTAGATAGTGTAGACACTTCATTATATTTATGTATATGTATATATGTATTCCGAATGATAGAGAACACGCGCGGCCCAGGTAATTGAATAGAAGAAGATGGGAAGGCGATCGCTGGGACCAATTGTTTATTTATCCGACGTTTCGAACTCTCACGCGAGCCCATCGTCAAGGAATGAAAAATTGTACAACTCATCGTGTATTTAGCTCACCTCTGCCGGGGGTGACCTCTAGCTGCGCTTCTGATTTGCTCTCGCAGTGCTTTATAGGCGATTGGCAGATCGATATGTCGATTAATCGAGTCCTCGGTTGACTGCCATGCTTCCTGCAGCAGACGAGCAACTCGGTCGTCCGACTGGCCCAATATTCTCACGCACTTAAAGTCGAAGCCGTGTCCTGGCGTGGAGGCGTGGGCGGCTACCAAGGAGAGTTTGTCCTTCCGTCTCACAGCCAACTCGTGTTCGTGCAATCTCGTGCGTACTTGTTTGCCCGATTCGCCAACATAATTGGCTTGACCACAACTGCAGTCTATCCGGTAAATGACCCCCGATTTCTAGTTGATGGTAATCGGGTCCTTAGGGTGCATGAGTTGCCGGCGTATTGTTGCCTCAGGTCTGTGAGCGACACCAATCTCAAATTCGCTCATCGTTCTAGCAAATTCTTCTGACACACCGGCTATGTACGGCACTGCGCGCCAACATTTCGGTTTTGGTTGTCCCTTCGGTTGTCTTCCCCGGGTTTCTCGCCTGCACTTTTCGACAAAATTCCCAGGGTGGCCGTTCGCTGTGAAGAGTTTCCGCAGGAACTGGATCTCGGCCTTCTTGTCGGCTGGCTCGGTGCAATGGGTTTCTACGCGCCAGTAGAGTGTTCTCACGCAGCTGCGTTTGTGCGAAAGAGGGTGGTTGCTAATAAAGCTTAGAATACTGGAGGTATTCGTTGCCTTTCGGTAAACTGTTGTTTTTAATGCACCATCACCTTTTCTCTGAACTAGTACGTCCAGAAACGGCAACTGGCAATCTTTTTCTTCCTCCATCGTGAACTGGATGTCTGGGAAGATCGAGTTGAGGTGTTGCGTGAATTCCCCAATCTTGTCTCGATTGATGATGACAAATGTGTCATCGACATACCGTACTCACAGTCGTGGTCGATTGTGGTCGAAAGCCAGTGCCACGAGTCGCTGTAACACTGCCTCAGCAATCAAGCCGGAAAACGGCGACCCCATGGGTGTACCTTTAACATGTTCGTACACAGCTCCGTTGAAGGTGAAGAAAGTCTTCAAGCAGTGCTTCAGGAGATCAATAAGGTGTTTTATCTTCAGTTTCTTGTCCGTTTCGTCATATTGTTCTTCCAACAAGGTTTGCAGGGTTTCAACCGCCAGATGCTGTGGGATGGAAGTGAAAAGTGATATCACGTCGAAAGAAACCATCACTTCATCTGTGAGTCGTATACCTTGCAGCTTTTCGATGAATCTTTCGGCTGAGTGGACGCTTGTTTCAGAACCCTGGGTTAGAAATTTCAGACGCTGGAACAGCCACTTGGCCAGGCCAAACGTTGGGGTGCCTCTTAGAGAAACAATCGGCCGTAGGGGAGTTCCTGGTTTATGGACCTTGGGCAGACCATACAATCTCGCGATCGCTGAATCCTTTAGTTTCATCCTCAACCAGTCAAGCTGTGTTATTGCTTTTGACTTCCGAAGACTCGATAGGTCCTTACTGATTTCGCTTATTAGCGTCTTCGTCGTGTCGCCTTCACGAGGAATGTAGGCAGTTTTGTCGCCCAAAAGTTCATCGACTTTGTTGGTGTAGTCCTCTTTGTTCATTACAACCGTCGATCGTCCTTTATCGGCTGGGAGTATGACAATGCTTTTTTCAGCCTTTAACGTCCGGAGTGCTTCGTTTTCTGCTTTTGAAAGTGTCTTGCGTTGCTTGTGGGACATGAGTCTGGAGGATATTCGCTGTCGTAGCAGATTCCTGTTTTCTTCAGTAATTGGAGCTTCGCGAATGACAGATTCCGCAGCGGCGATGAAGTCAAGTGGTTGGGCATCCGTAGTATTGAAGCAGGTATCATGACTCAGCAATTTCATCTGCTCTGCTGTCAGTTGTTTGGAAGAGAGGTTGTGCACAACCTTATAATGGCAGAGGTTTGGATTCTTTTCACTTAATGTGGTCAACGTCTGCTTCAGTTGGGCTTCACGCGCATCGCGAATGCGACTGGCACTGAGAGAAATGCTACGGTAAAGATCGTTTGTCAGCAATTCTCCAAGGATCCGTGAGCACTTTGTTCGTTCTTCCTCGATTGTTGCCTTGTATTTGCGCAGTCGAAGGTGACAATCCTGGATTAGAACCCGAATCATTCTGCGTCCGTGTTGTAGAACTGTTCGCCTACCTAGCTTATGCACCCTAAGGACCCGATTACCATCAACCAGAAATCGGGGGTCATTTACCGGATAGACTGCAGTTGTGGTCAAGCCAATTATGTTGGCGAATCGGGCAAACAAGTACGCACGAGATTGCACGAACACGAGTTGGCTGTGAGACGGAAGGACAAACTCTCCTTGGTAGCCGCCCACGCCTCCACGCCAGGACACGGCTTCGACTTTAAGTGCGTGAGAATATTGGGCCAGTCGGACGACCGAGTTGCTCGTCTGCTGCAGGAAGCATGGCAGTCAACCGAGGACTCGATTAATCGACATATCGATCTGCCAATCGCCTATAAAGCACTGCGAGAGCAAATCAGAAGCGCAGCTAGAGGTCACCCCCGGCAGAGGTGAGCTAAATACACGATGAGTTGTACAATTTTTCATTCCTTGACGATGGGCTCGCGTGAGAGTTCGAAACGTCGGATAAATAAACAATTGGTCCAAGCGATCGCCTTCCCCTCTTCTTCTATGTATATGTATATATTGATGTGTTACTGGCAGAGCCCTTGGTGACCCTACTTATGTACAGTGCTTTCGCAGATTCATACTCAAAAATAAAAAAAATTGCAGGAATTTAAAATTACTTATTTAATTACTTTTGACTGCAAAGACGATGAACGCGCGATCACTGGGAAAGTGCATGTAGTAGTCTAAACTCTTGGTCTTGTACATAAGGCCATCGTCAGAGCTTGCGATATTGCGGCGTCAGATGAGCAGTTTACGTAGTCAAGACATAAGTGGGGAATGCAGGAGGGTGGTGTGCGTGACCACCTCCTTCTTTGTTTGACAACAAAAACTGTTTATTTGACACCGCACTTTCAGAGACACTGACAATGGCCTTCTGTACCAGACCGAACACCCAGAATAATACGTATGCTGCCCCAGTGATCACGAGCTCATCTTCCTTGCAAAATAACCTGCGACTCGCATATTCACCTCTATCCGTATTTTATTACTGTTAACTACCGTTAGTCTCTAATCCTCTGGACCTAAGGATTTTTAGACTGTTTGACTCCAAGTTAGTATATTATTATTGAGAAAGTAAAAAGAATAGCAGAGAATTGTACGTGTGCATCTCTGCCCACACATATTGTGTTTTTCCCGCGGGATTAGAATGCCGTATGTGCGCGAGCACCTTAATTGATGCGACTGGGGTTGTTAATGTAGCCATGGTTCAGTGGGGGAGTTTTAGAACATAAAACGAAATGCCAGCAGATGGTGGTGCGGGGAAGAACAAGATGCACTTTCGGAATAAACAGCGGTAAACTAGTTAACTCCTCCGTGAGCGCCGGGAAAAAATGGTAGTACTTGCTGCCCAGAAAAGAACAGACAGTTAACAAATTCCGAGACGTACACGTGCCCGAAGTCTGTTGTTCGCCAATAAGCAGCATAGAGTTTTGCGATCATTTATGAGTGGCAGATGTTTTGACCAGAAATCGAGGAACCGGTTAAACAGACTAACGGAAGGCAAACTGAATGACAAACTGTTATGAGCTAAAATAACAACAGTCCTAAAAAGTTTTTTAAATCTTTAGCTGAAGAAAACGTGAATGGGTGGGAAGTTTGTAAGTACAAGCTCTGGCTAATGAGCCAGAAGTAGCCATCTCACTCTCTCTTGTCTTTGTCAGTAATATTATTCCGCCTACACTATGCGCCGCCGTGCGGCTTATGGTTGAACTGGAGAGAGAGCCCGTAAAGCACAGCGAGACGAGTAAGTTCCGCTGAAAGGTTAAGTGAGCGTCTCCCTCTGATATTTTATAGTCCCGATCGTAACCGATAGAGCAAAGAGCCCCTAGATCAGTGGTTGGAGGCATTGAACTTCTAACCAACAGGTCGCGGGATCGAGCCCCGGGTGGTTCACACCTCGGAGTCGAGTTGGATTGGCTGACGACACCTGATAAGCCGGAAATGGCCACTCCAGTCTCCCTAGTCTTTTTCGGTAATGTTATTTTTCCTGTATCATGCGCCGCTGTGCGGCTGCTGGTTGGGCTCGAGAGAGAGCCCTTAAGGCACAACTGAACGAGTGAGTTCCGTATGAACGATTGGTGAGCGGCCCCTACCATTGTAAATTCCCGATCGAAACCAACAGGACGCTGAGCCCCTGGTATGACTAGCTGACGACGATTAGTAAGCCAGAAATGGCCATTTCAGTCTTCCTTGTCTTTATCGGTAGTTTTACTTTGTCTACATGACGCACCCGTGGCGGCTGCTTGCTATGCTCTAGAGAGACCCCCAAGACCCAATCTCAACGAGAGAGCTGGCCAACGTAATTGATGAGGGCGCCTCTACCAGAGTTACGTCTATCGACACGTAAAAGGAGTGTCAAGTATATTCGTTCAAATGCTACGTGTACGCAAATACCCGCTTAAAATCGAGCAAATTTTTTGTTCTTCTTTTCCTGCATGTGCGTTTACTTAGACGCCCTTTTAAAAATAATCTGATTAAACTCAGCTTCCGTAAAAGTCATTTATATTGAGTGGGTTTCCCATATTCCAGAGACCCAGATACATTTTTAGGTAATTGTGTGGTATTAGGCTACGCAGCTACGCGTGATATGACCTGGACGTTACTTATTTGCTTTCCGGCACAGGATTTAAGTGGGAAAGAGTTTTCTAGCACCGGAACACTGTGTTTATTGTCCTGAGCTTTTAGACTCGTACAGGAGTCCATCTTCGGAAGTAGTAGCAGCAACAGAACCAGCGACAGTTATGAGGCATGTAGACCAACCATCAACCGACGGCGCACGACTGGAGGTGACTACGAAGGGCTCTGTAGGCCGGTGCCTGATCGATAAATCAATTGACCGAGTTCTCATCCGAGACCCAGGCTTCAATCAATTCTCGACCTGTTTTGTTTCCGGCGTGGGCGACTATTTTGGTGGCTGCGAAGTCAAACTCGTGACCCATTTCGTAGGTGTGGACGGCCACTTGTGATAATGTGTCGCCTTGTCGCACAGCCAGCTTTTGTTCGTGTATGCGCGATCCGAGCATGCGCCCAGTCTGTTCTGTGTAGATACAAGTACAGGGGATGTGATACACCACTCCAGACTGCTCTTCAGGCTTTAACCGGTCCTTGATTTTCATGACCCTATTGCACATGGCGGCTTTGGGGCGGTATGCAATTCCAACACCTAGCTTCGCAGCAATGCGCTCGGTCGCTTCTGAAACGTCCTTGATGCATGGCAGAGAATGCCATATCGTCCGTGGTGTTGATGTTCGAGTCCTCTGGTGGCGACCGCTTAGGCAGCGACCTATGAGTGCCCTCGGAGAGCTCTTTTGCAGAAACTGGTCGCAGAGATAACGGGCCTCTCGTACTCTGTCGTCCGGTTCGCTGCAATGAGTTTAGATGCTTTTGAAGAACGTCTTCACACGGCTTAGTTTATGAGCCACTGGATGCTTGCTGTGAAAATGATAAGCTTGGTGGCGTTTGTTCCCCTCCTATAAACTATTGTTTCAAGTTCAACTTTAAGTTTTCGTCTGACAAGCACATCCAGGCGGGGCAACAGCTGTTCCTGTTCTTCTTATTGCCTGAATTTTATATCAGGGAAGACCGCATTGAGCAGGCCGCGGAAATGAGGAAGTCTAAAACGGAGAACGTACGTTTTCTACTTGAAGATAAATATAGGTTTAGGTAGAACAGCGAAATTTGTGGAGTAAAACAAATTATAAACAGCAGTTATACCTTGAGGTGATTGTTCCCAGACGTGTGGGGCAGCTGGATAATTATGGTCTATTTTCTGTCAGTGGTGTGGGAAGGATGAGACGGGGAAAGGAATAGGTGGAGTAGTCTGACTGGGTTGTGCTTATGTTTCGTCGCTGTGGCGCGAAGTGCCATAATGCGCAAATCTAAAGCAAATCCTTCAGCACAAACTTACTTTCTTTCGATTAGAAGTCAAGTTAAACTTTTCAGTTGAATGTCATTAACTGGTGGCCCTTAAAATCCGTGTGCAATGGTGCGACATCGTGTTAATTTACCAAAAGCTACACCGTCACGTGAATTATCTTCAAGCAGATAAATTCGACTTTTCGTGTTTTATGCTACCGTAACTGGTTAGGTTTACTTGTACATGCTGTGATAGTCTGACATGACAACATTAAGGAGGACTTTAAGAGACAGGTGTTGTTTCCAGAAAATTTGACAAATTCGTGTTTTCAGTAAGTTGCTCGCTTTGATTAGTCATTTATGTCAATAAAAATGGTTCTGAATTGCGCGTACTGCAATTGATAAGATATGTGAAAGACGTGCTCTGTTAAGACGAACATTGGCTGGTGGGATGAGGAAGCATTTAAATTAACTGGTTAAGTAAACTCTCACTGTTTTCTCTACCAGGAAACACCCACTGTAGTGCAGCATCTCGTTAAGGTCTCAATGGTCACATTCTATGGTGTCGAAACCTTAACATAATTAAAGAAACCAATGGAAGATGCGCGTGCCGAAGAGTTGTCTTTCCATGACGTCCTCATAAAACGCGAACCCAATTTGAGAACTCAGTGTCACGGTGTATAGAAAGGAGACTAACACGACCCAAGTTCTCAACTACCATAGTGACTACCCAATAGCGCGAAAACGCGGCTGTGTAAGCAAACTCTTGCAAAGGGTAAAAAACGTTGCAGTGAAAAGGAAAGACGAGTGCAAGAACTAAGACAACTTTGGGACTAAGGGCAAGGAATGGATATCCAAACGTCTCCGACGGCCGTTGCCTTCAATCACACCTACTGCTAGAAAACGGGGGAGGGCCGCCAACACTCTGGTGCCCCCTGCCGTATACAAAGAACGTGTCAGAAGCAACGGGACGTATCGTTGCAGAGATCGCCGTGGGTATTGCCAGCGTCTGCCAGCGACTATGCTCGAAAAAATAATGCAAATGAAGGATCGAATAGACGCAGGAGAATAATCTGGTGTCATTTATGAGAGCCCATGCTGTAACTGACCTC